TGAAATAAGTCAAATGACTTTGAGAAATAGAGTATGGCCAATGTGTCGAGAACTCGAATTGTAATTGTACCTGGTGATGCTTATGACATGAGGGAATATGAAACAGATTATGATATTGATGTGAAATATGCGGAAGTGATGTGAAATGCGGGAAATAAGAGATTGTGTTATGAAATGCGGCCTAGTGCCAAGTATGATGTGATAATTATGGCCCCAAGTGCCGATGGACTAATATACGTGAAAATGGCATGATTCTTTTATTTGATAATGTGGTGATCATTTAAAGTGTTTGATTTGTACTTGTGATTTCCTTGTTATTGTATGAAACGCATAGGTGTATAATTTGATATGTCAGCCCTATGGAAGGGCCATGAAATGTAGCCTAGAGGTATGGAAATTATGTGAAAGCTATGTGATCCCTTTTTATTTTGTAATGTGGTGATTGTTTAAAGCTTTTGTTAAACCCTTATGATTTCCTTGTCTTTGCATAGATATGTTCTTAGAAAGAATCTAAATTACAAAACATTTCATGCACATGCTCTTTGAGTTAGACGTATTATTCACAAAGTCCCTCTATCACAGTTCTCTTACTTTCTCGAGTCACTCCTTTTTTTTTTCTCTCACCGATGTATATGGCTTCTATGGTTTGAACAGTCACTCTACTCTCTTGCGAGTGTCATCATGAAACCTTCTCCCTGTCTAGTAACATACATGCATATCTCAGTGCCTATCATATGAGTGCATATCAATCGAAATGGTCACAGTGTGCATAAAGTCTCTCTGGAAAAAAAATTGAGATCCTCACATCCCCATCACAGATATCTTGTGTCGCCATGGTTTTCGTGTCCACTTGGGACATCTCGTAGTAAGTAGCTCACTCTGTCCTAGTATTGTGGTTGCTCGTGGCATGGTCATATATTGCAGTGGGGAGTTAATATAGTAGAAGTGTGTCCAGCTTATAACAAATGATTATTTTGTCTTTATGTCTCCACGATGTGTTAATTGTATTCCTTATTTAGTGAATTCATTGTGCTAGTCCCAACACTTGTGCGACAACCATGAAAGAACATGACCTTCTATGTGTCATTGTGACACTTCCTTTTTCAAGTCAAAACCTATGGAGAGCTCATCATGAACATCTGCAAACCTTCTATGATTATTGTGCACTGTCTCATTGAGTTTGATTGTCTTTACACCCTCAACTTCTAGAATCATTAACTATGTCGTTGTCATGTACGGGGAGTTTTGCTACCCTTGGTATCTCACCTCCTCGGTTGGACAGGGGTGTTATTTTCCTTCTCCCCGGAGCATCGTGTTAACTATAAGAACCATCTAACCAATTCATGATTTCGTCCCAATGTCAAGATGTTCTAGCTATGGGGTTTCACTCGTGAAAGGTTGAGATTAGATGACTTTCAATTTTTGCACAATATCATGAGCATATCGATTTGAAAGACAAGTTTGGTCGTATCTTTAGTTCCCTCGTATATGATCAATTATCAGGGAGGGTTAAGCTGTCTGAAATATGATAATCTCATGAGAGTTCAACTTCATTTTCATCCGCATGGGCTTACGACATAGATTCCTTGTGTCAGCTAACGTCGGGAGTGTAATTCCACTTCATGTGTTTTGAATCCCATATCGCATTCAAGGTGCCAGAGTATTCTTATTCTTGATAAACGGATTTTCCCTACACTCTAGAAAATGAGTGGTTCACGTACTTGAGTATTCCTCCTTAATGGTTCCTATTGCCAATGTACTACTTACCCCTATGCCTCATTTGTGTAATAATTGACATAGTCACAGTGATTAACCATGTCAGTATTGTTAGTAGTAACCTTCTGTGTCTCTTAGCATATAACCTGTCACGACCCAATTTCCATACCCGGTCGTGGTGGCGCCTCTCGTGAAGACAAGGCCAGCCAACTAACCTAATCTGTTTCTTTAACTATTATTAAACATAAATGTATAGATAAATATAGCTTAACGACAATAATAACCAGTATGTGCAACCCAACACAACCCGACCGGGGTGTCACAAGTCACGAGCATCTAAAGAAACCTGAACACAACTACAGGGCCAATAATAATATATAAGGAAAAATCCTGGAAATCAAAAGACAACATCCGGTGCCGCGAACGCTGGCGGTCACCTTACTCAGCTACAATAGCCATACCTTCAATCAGCTAATAACCCGCTACCGGGTGAACAATACCTGCAACTGCACGCGAGGTGCAGGGAGTAAAGTGAGTACTTCCAACTCAGTGGTAATAAGAGTAAATAATAACTGAGCGGTAAGAAAGCACGTAAAAGCACTCCATCATGCTATATAGGATAGTACCACTCTTTGAGAAAACAGTAAAATCGTGAAAATCCTTTAGAAAATATCTGACTCAGTTTAAAACCACTTTTGAGCATCTTTTTCTCAACAGTCAAGCAAATGAATGCATAATCAGATAGTGCAAGTCCGCACATAAGTCAGCCCCTCGGGCACAGCACTCCACAAACAGTTAATACCAGGGCGTCTGGTAACAGTACAAGAAATAGCATGGATGTCAATGATATGAGAGTGCTAAATATCATGACACGTAGTACAATCAGGAAACAATGCATGAATGCAAAGCAACGCACATGACCGCTGCGGCGCGCAGCCTGATCCATTTGGGTACCCGCGCTCACTGTGGGGGTTCAGACTCCGGAGGGGCTCCTATAGCCCAAGCGCGATATCATCATAGTATCGCTGCGGTGTGCAGCCCGATCCATCCTCAGTCCAGAACATGCAAATGAGCCACTCGGGCAATGTCAAGTAATAGCTTTTAACTCAAAACATCAGAAAAATGCAATTTAAGTCTTTAAGCTTTAGCAATATGACTGCACATTTCAAAACAGGGTTTAACTCAGGACTGAAATCATTTAATATGCAAAGTATCATGTAAACAGTGATAATGATCCCTAAAAGATTCAAATAATTGGCACGAAGCCCAAATATAGCAATCAACCCAAATAATGATGATAACAAGTAGTTTCAGTCAAATACGCAGTATACTCATCTACCGGGACGGACTAAGTCACAATCCCCAACGGTGCTCTACCCCACGCTCATACCTGGCGTGCAAGTCACCACAATACAGCACTATGATGTGCAAATCCGGGGTTTCAAACCCTCAGGATATCATTTACAAGTATTACTCTCCTCGAACCGGTGAAATCTCTAGCTCGCGACGCCTTTGCCACTCAATTCGGCCTCCGCGCGCGTCGAATCTAACCAAAATCAGAGCGAATGCATCACAATATGCTAAGAGAACAATACCCGATCGAAAACAATCGAAAAATATCAAAAATCT